GGGGGGGTAGATCGACCATGGTCAATAGTGTTCTAGATGCAATGCCTGCATAGATGATTTCAGTAGTCCCACCCCTTGACAATGTGATCAAGAGAATAGACATGCTAAGAAGAAAAATATTTTGGCAAGGAAATGAAGACAAGAAAATTTCATCGGGTCAAATTGGAAGAGGTCATGAAAAGCAAGAAGGAAGGGAGAGTGGGGATCAAGAATATGAAGATACAAAACAAAAGCCTAATGATGAAGTGGCTATGGAAATTCATCACAGGAGAGAATATGTTGTGGAAGGAGGTCATCTATGCAAAGTATGAAATGGAGGATAAATGGATTACCAAAATGGTGACCACTCCTTTGGTTGCTGGAGATCAGTTACGAATCTGTGGCCATTACTACTGTCCATAATAAACTTAAAAGGTGGGGAATGGACTAAAAGTGGCATTCTGGGAGGAAAAGTGGATAGCTCAGAGAACTTTGAAGCAGTTATTCCCTGATCTACACCTATTAAGCTTTCAGCAACAGGCCACTGTTGCGAAAATGTGGACATGTCAAGGTTGGAACCTTCAGCTCAGGAGAAATTTAATGATTGGGAGGTGGAAAGGATAGGTACCCTATACAACACCTTAGCCCCTTTCAACAACTTAACTGGGGAAGAAGACACTACAATATGGAAGGTAGGCAACAAAGGAGCTTTCACTGTGAATTCCGGATACCGGAATATCACATACAATGTCAATTGTTTCACATGGTTGCTAACCAGAGAAGTAGTACTGACACCGGACAACATGAAGAAGAGGAAATACCATTTATGCTCCAGATGTTACTTATGTGAAGAACAAACCAAGACAGTCAACCATCTCTTTTTACACTGTAAACGGGCAAACAGCTATGGAGACTATTCATCTGCTTGCGGAAAATCTCTTGGGTGAAACCAAGGAACATAGACGGAGTGTTGAAGTGTTGGATTAGAGTTGGCAATGCTACAACAAATGAGGAAAGATGGAAAATTGTCCAAGCTTGTATATGGCGAACAGTGTGGAAAGAAAGGAATCAAAGATATTTTGGGGAAAGGATAGCAATTTATATAATTTTAAGATGAATTACCTGACTTTATATTACTTTTGATGTGAACAAAAAGTGTTAGGACAGAATGAAGATATTTTAGAAGTTTTAGACTATTTGTAACAAAAAGAACAAATAGGCCTCCTAGATTGTAATACATTTGGAAAGGAGGACTAAACTTTGATGTAGTATACTTGTGGATATATAGATGGAAAAGTTACCATTTCTCAAAAAGAGATAATGCCTTGAAACTGATGGGCCTCTCTCTCCCTTTTTTTTTAAAAATAAAAGTACTCCATCTACTTTATTCTGGAACAAAGAAGTAAGGAAAAGAGATCAATCAATTCACGCAAGATCAATCAAGAGAATACCATGGATCCAGGCTATGTTGCTCGGACACTTGAAAAATGTCGACGGGTGCGTGTCGGATCCTCCAAAAATAGTGTATTGTTGAAGGATCCGACACGGGTGCAGCAACATTTTTGGAGAGTCCGAGCAACTTAGGATTCAAGTACTTCCCTATCTTATGTACCATTTTTTGGATGTAATGTGAAAATCATTAAGTTCTACTATCCTCATGTCATGTATAGGGATTTGTATTAGTGTGTTTATGGTTTACTATCAATAATCCGTTAAAATCCTTACAAAATTTTACTTTTTCTCAAAGTCTTTTTAACATGGTAAACAATCCATATTCTAGCTTCTTCATGTGTCTAAATCTTATTACAGGAACCTTAACTACCACTAAAATCTTCCAATAGATAACAAAAAATGCACAGAAAGCTCAATATATATTATCAATTCAATGATAATTCTCTTTGAAACAGCAGTTCAAAAAAATGCTAGAGTTCTGAACAATATCCTCACCTGCAATGGTGACAATGCAGACAAGAACCCATCGAAAGCTGAAGTGGAGGGCCAAACATCAGCTACAGCAGCTGAATCCTTATGTCCTTTAGGGAGCAACCTCTTGTAACTCTGAATGTACAAAAATACAACCAAATCAAACACATTAACACCAACAGACCCAATCTCGGAGGGCTTAGCGGTAACGAGAGGGTCAGAGACGGAGTGAAGAACACAGGCAATGGTTTCAAGGAGAAGTTGAGCTTGGTCAGGCGAGATCTGAAGGGACTCAGCAATGGATTCCGGGTTAACACGGTAAGTTGATTCAGACGAAAGGGACAATAGCTTGTCCTTAATCGGACCTAGGGTTTGTGTTCCGTCGGTGAAAATTAGCTTTGGGATCGGTAATAGGCCGTGTTCGAATGGATCTCTACGTGGGTGTATGTAAGCTGGGGAGAGGGATGGTATCGTTGCGGGTGATGGTGTTTCATCGGTTACTGCCATTGGTATTATGGGAAAGAAGAAGGGAAGGAAGAGAAAAGCTAGTGAAAATGGTAGTGATGGGAAGAATACCAGGGAGAGAAGAAGCGGGGCTGAAAAGCCCGCTTGGCCCGTGCTTCAACGCGCGCGGTTTTTTCCTGGACAGTAGGTTAGACAGAACGTTACTTTTGGAGCATTTTTGAGTGAACAATGCTCACATTTCCTTTTGTTTCCTATATCTATGCTCTCGTTGTCACTCCCCAAATTTTGGCCCACACAAACTGACATTTGGTGTATTTAACTTGCTCAATCAAAACAGCTCTACATGATATATACTTGAAACATATATATGAAATAAAATCATTAAGTAATTTTTATTCATAAAATATTGTCTTTAAGTTCATGTCATAAGAATCTAATAAATCGAAAAAACTTATGGAGTTTGCATAAGTGAACATTTAGACTCGTGTATCTGTGAAGCCTCTAAATATTACATGAATAACAATGTTTACTAGGACAAGGTCTCGGCATAGCCATAAGCTAACAAAGCTGAATAAATAAAGATTATGCCACAAGATCAAGTAAGGCTCACCAAAAGTTGAGTGTGGAAAACCTAGCGTGTAGCTCTGTCTTCATGAAAATTTGAAACTATATCGTGAAATGCAGTGCCCGTACAATAGGGTCGTAAGTAAATGTGGAGTGGTACTTGTATGTAATACTAGAATGGCAAGGCCCGTGCTAAGCACGGACCCAACATCAACCTGTTTGTACAAAAATTTTGAAGGATAAAACAACATCAATTTTAACCCCAAAAAAATGACGATGGAGAAAAAATTGTGTGTACACCAATACTTTTCCATGGAGATCAAATAGTTGACGAAGCAAACAAAGATTTTATATATGTAATAGTTATAGGTAACATTCTAAAAGGTTGGTCTGCAAATAGGTATGTGATAGTGCTTCTGTCTTCATATAATCGACATTGTAGATGAGAATCTTGAAGAACACTTGCAAAAAAGGGAATAGAATAAATTACTTGTAATTTTATCTTGGATCAAGATTTAAATATGCATATGGTATGAGAAGCTAAGAGTACTAATTTTCCAATTTAATTAGATGTACTGTAGCAAGAAATAATCAAATTTGAAGAGTTAGAACTAATGCCAAAATATTCAAGAACCTTCACCAAATGGAATACAAGTCACTTTTGAAAGGAAAAAAAGAATGAAGAAAATTAATGCATTTAGATTAACAGATAAACAATCTAACTTAAACGATTCTCATGGTTTCTATTTCCTCACCAACCATGAAACATAAGAGTCAGAATTCTCGTTGCGCCTTTGCTACAGTGAATCTTCTCAATGAATTTAGCAATTACAGTTTTCACTTTCTTGCAGTTCTCTTCATTAAATATGCACATATGCATAGAGAAGAATTCCTAAAGAAATGTACAAAATTTTCAAAAGCAATATTCAATAACCCACTAGAATGTGGGAACCTCAACAACCCAAATCTCACCAACTTTCAGTACCATACAAGGCTCCATGATCGAAGTGTCTTGCACGCAAACTTATATTTCTAGAAGTGCTATGTATTAGAAATATTGTGAAATAAGCTCTGCCACCTTTTTTCCTCAATTGAGTAGATAGACCAAGTCAAAGGTTTATTTAGCAACTAATACCACACTCGATGTATGTTGCAGCTCACACTGAAGTGATTCACTTTCTCCATTTAAGAATTGATACAATAATAGAAAATCAATTTCAGCTTCTCATCCTAATTTCTTTAGTAAAGCAAAACAAACACTAAAAGAGTTCACAAATCACAGTTATAAGGATTTTTCCAGTTTCCAGCATGATAATTCTACTACTATTGTTCATATTTTTTCATTTCTATTTGTTGTTGTACCTACAATTGTTTCACAGGCCTTTTGAAACTTACCTGCAAACTGTATCGTGTGAAAGGCTCGTTCTTTAATTGACTCCTTGTAGACCATTCGTGCAGGGCACATCACCTTCGTTGATGGGCGGCAATCTTTCAGTTACCTCAGGCAACTTTATAGCCAGCAATCAAGTTGTCTTTGCCTGATGTTTAATCAAACTGGCCTCATCTGTTTTCCTATCAATACCACAATAGTTCTTTAGTTGCCACTTCTCTGCATGATGCACCTTGACAACAAAAGAGAAACTTATGTTATCTTTAGAAAGCGGATAAACGTCAAACAACTATGAATCTAAAGAGGCGTTTTAAATTCATTGACAAACAAAATCACCACAAAATGGTAAAAACTATCCTATAAGCGATAAGTTCCAAGAATTTCATAGGAGTTGGTCGGACTTGGTGATTGGTAGCTGGGTTATGGCTTGTAGAATCTGTTTGCAGATGGCACGGTAGCAACAATGCCTCATTGATGCAAAAAGAACTTCAACTGCTGACTTAACTGAAAAAGGTAATATAAATTTGAAATTTAAAAAGAACAAAGACACAACAAAAGAAAGACCAAAGAAGTATAACAAAGAAGTGAGATTTACAATTACCAGGACCAGGTGGATGGAATAGATCAGAAGATGTAAATAAGTATTCATGGATAAAATAGGAATTACAAATAGAAGATCCATGACAATAACCACCACATTTTGCCTAGGAAGAAGTACAATGACAATCAACAAATTATATGTATTCAACAAAATCTACAAATGAATAGAGCTTAAATTCAATATAAACACTTACACAATCTCTATAATGCCTTAAGTATTCTGTTCATGTTAGCTTCTTGAACTTCAAGGATTTGCTGTAATTATTTGCACTGCGTGGAATGTGTTATTTTGGGATTGCGGGTTACAATACTCAGTAAGAGATGCTGGTAAAGTGATTCATGCATAAGTTTGTTGCTGGTTTCCTTCATATTTCAGTCAGTGCTTATGATGTTGGTCTATCGGAAACAACCTATTTACCTCCAAAGATAGGGAGTAAGGTTTGCGTGTTGATCTTAGGCATATTTATATGCCTAGAAAGTTAATAATGTCACGCCCCAAACCCAAGGGGCGCAATTGGCTCCTAATGCCATAACTCAGGCCTGAGCCGACCCTTCTGAACCATTTGCTACTAGCGCATGACAGCCACACGCAATTAAGAAAACAAACAAGTATATCTCGGCTTAAATTTAAGCCCTCGGCCGGCAAGGCCCCTGCCAACAAATCTATAAAAGAAACAGCTACACCCAAGAGTTCATATAAAAAAATAGTCAACTAGCACAGAAGTCTTGATTGGGCCGTCAAGGCCACCATGATCTCTATAGTGAAACTGAAAGCAGGTATATATCAATACAATACATCAAATAGCTAACAAGCATCAGCAAACCAACAAACTGGGCCAACATGGCCATAACGTAGTTGTACACCCCACACACTAGTCTGCAAGCCTCTAAGAGTAGTAAATATTGGCGGGACAGGGCCCAGCCTACCCGTAAAAATATATACAACAAAAGCTAACAAACTTCCCAACTCTGGCAGCTCCGGAGGAAAGGGGCTACCCAACCAGATAGAAGTCAATCCTGCTGAGGAGGTCTACTGGGTCATCTGTCGGGTCCTGCATACATGAATGCAGCGCCCCCAGGCAATGGGGCGTCAGTACAAAATAATGTACAGAGTATGAAAGGCTATAGACTAAATGAGCAAGTATCATAATATACCAAAAGCAATCAGGTAAGGAAATCAATTTTAGTAAAGCATGCTAACCCACAACTGAATCTAAAAAATACAATAATGATCAAACAGCAACCTATCCAAGCCCCCATAAGCTCGGTAGGTACAAACAACATACCACTTACCTAGGGACCCATAAGCCCAGAAGATGCCAAATCAATCTACGTAACCCTATCGGTAGCCCCTTATCTTTGTAAGAAGTCACATTGCCCTTTTTGGCAACGATATAGCCCCGTAGGCACCAAATATCTCTCTTAGGCAACATCATAGCTCTATGGGGTGCATGTAGCCCTCTTTTGCATCACATAGCCCTGTAGGCAACACATAGCTTTCTTTGGCGTCAAAATATCCATGTAGGCAACACATAACACTCTTTGGCATCAATATAACCCTGTGGGCAACACATAGCCCTCTTAGGCAATAACATAGTCCTATTAGACAACATCATAGCCCCCATAGGTAGTTCATAGCTCAACAACTAACCACAATAGCCCCAAAGGTGACAACAAATAATTGAATAAGCTAAAGGTGAGAAATTTAGATATAAATAATATATATATATATATATATAGTTTCCAAGTCGTTCCTAACTCAGGGTCATTCTTAACAGATTTTGAGTCCCTATAATGAGGGTTTATAACCACTCAATCAGCCAACCACTCACAATTACATCTACAA